GGAGCCTTCTCCTCTCCAGGCTGAACAACCCCAACTCTCTCAGCCTTTCTTCATAGCAGAGGTGTGCCATCCCCCTGGTCATTTTCCTGGCCCTCCTCTGGACCTACGATACGCATAGGTTGGAAGAAATACAGACATTTTATCTGCTCTATGTTAATTAGTATATTTAATAGATCTGTATGGGGGAAAAAAAGCTTGTTTTCATGTTTTGCAAATGCTAGTTCTGCAATTATTTCCTATTTGTCCTCAGGCTAATGTCACGGTAGTGTGGCGGAGGGGTGTTTTTTTAAGGTGGGGTCGTTTGCTTGTCGTGTGGGTTTTTGAGTTGGTTTTGTTGTTTGACTCTCGGGTGGTTTTGGTTTTTTTTTAATACAATTGTCTTTCATCGGGAAAAGAAGGGGGAAGAGAGGGGAAAGTCAATAGCCTTTGGCTTAGGTACTCACCTCGAACGTGTAAGCCTTGACACGGCCGTGCTACGTCTGTCACAACTGACTGACTCGTGGTTTGATCCCGTACCTCCCGTGCTCTGGGTGCAAGCTCTGGTCTGGCCTGCGGGCATCCTCCTGGTCTCGGCAGGGAGTTCAAGCGTGCCTCTCTTGGGCCCTTTTCGTCCCTTCATCTGGGCGCTTCAACGACCCTGAATTTTGGCGAATACAGAAACTGCTGAAACCGATGGTTTCTCTGCTACGCGAGATGTAGGGAGGAGGGCTCCTTCGACGGCCGTGAAGGTAGCGCACGAGCGAGTAGCAAAGAGCGGGGAATGCTGCGGCAGCGTGACCTGTTACATTAGCCAGAGATCCAGCCGCAGCAATAGAATCGGTACAGATTTATGTTGGATAAATTTAAACGGGCAACAAAACAGACTCTTCCCAAGATTTTCTGTGCATTACAAGGATGTAAGACGTGACAGAATTTCACCCTACGTTTTTCTTCCCTATCTTTCCTCTGGTTGAGAAACTCTCGGTAGTGGGCACTGAAAAAAGTAATTGACTGTAACAAACAGTCTGGGCCATCTTTGAAGGAAAATTCCGCAATTTCAGGCCCAATAAAATAACTAGAAAACATGGCTAGATACCCTTTGAAAAACTATTAACAACGATTTAAAAAAAAATTGTATCTGACTGTCGTAACAGACTGACACTTACCAATCAGTGCCTAATAGCAGAACTAAAAAAAAAAAACATATATATATACACACACACATCTTAGGGAGCTGGGTACAGAGGAATTATAATTATGATAGTTCGCTTAAGGTACCCAGATGGGTGCTGTTCCTTTTTACGCTGCACTGGCAGTAAAAGAGAGCGAGCCATTATTTCTACATTTAACACTTGTACATTTTTATTTAGTTAAATCAGCCATTGTACACATTGCAGCTATGTATTGTTAGTGTTGTATTTTTTTTTTTAAATTTTTAACTAATACATGCCCTCATAGATATATTCAATTAGTGTTATCACCATGGGAACAAGATGCTGACTCGTCAACTTAAAATTCACTTCTTCTCACAGTATTCAAGTTCTTTAATAACACAGCAAAAAATCAAAATAAGAGGTGAATAACCATTATGTTGTTACACAGAACATCATCTGCACCGCAAGTAACACAACAGAAATGCATTTCTTTAGAGCCCCATCCTTGAAGATCATCCTGTGCTGTCTCTGACAATAAGAAAGCCATGACGCGCTGTGAAATGTTTCATCGTGGGTCTCGCTCGGCGTGGCCGCCAAAACACTTCTCTTTTTTTTTTTTTTTTTTTTTTTGCTTTGTTTTTTTTCTTTTTC